TTTGTCAAAGATACTGTTAGTGATCTGCGCCTTTTCTTGACCTCTGACTCGCTGTACGGTATTTCTCTGAGACTGATTTTCTGAAGTCTGAATAACTGAGAGCTACCAAATGTATCGTAAACAGTCTGTAAAGGCAGCGATTTAATCCCTGGAGTCGCAGATGCCGGTGTTTGTGTCTGACTGGTTCAGATTGTTATTGTCTTACAACTTCACTGAGAGTAAGATACTACTTTTAGACAAGGAAGGGCCATTGCATTACTCTCTTTAAAGACCTCTGTATACGGGAATCAAGTCGTGTTGTTGATCAATTGAAGTCCAAATCTCGACCAACATTTGAGTACAGAGTACTGAGATTCTACATATTGAGTTAAGGATATGCGTAGCCACTACCCTCTACAGGTTGAAACCAGGCTACAACAATCAAATCTTTTGGCTGATCTGGAGGCAGGTGTGACAGATGTCGTACCAGCTTTAATCACCAAACCCTTAAAAAAAAGAACAATGTTAGCTGACTCCGCAAACTGTGAAGTCATCTTGATCGAGAGAATCAAGCAGATTGATTTGACCTGAAATCTAAGCGGCTCGTTGTGAAATACAGCGATCTTGAAGTGCAAAAACAGGGCTATTTCTTTAAAAATGGTAAAGCAAACGTTCAAATCCTCTAGGGGGCAGTGTGATATTTCCCGTGAATCAGAGTGGTCCTCTATTCTCTCCCTCCCCTCCCTGTCCACCGTGGTCGCGGCCTACATGAGACTCTGGAGGAGAGAAGTCCTCGATTTCTGTCACAAAAGTTTCATCGCTGATTCTCGAGTAGTCGCTCATGGGGGTTTACCCGAGATAAACTTGCTAATAGTTAGATAATAACTAAGCAAATAAGTGCGTGTGTTGCACAGTCTGTAAGATGTCGCAGATGATGGTATCTGCACGAAGGTGGGAGTGGGTGTGTCTTATGCCCCCTCAGCCCCGCCCACATCCAAGGGTAGATGCACTTAAGCTGAAACTCAGGGGTTTAGTGACCCTTTAGCAGAACCAGATTTACCTTGCAGAATCCGTTCACAGGAGCTGCTGCTCTACCTCTGCTTCCTTGGTACCTTGTTGGTTCTGATTTTGTTTTTCACTGTGTGTGTGTGTGTGTGTGTGTGTGTGTGTGTGTGTGTGTGTGTGTGTGTGTGTGTGTGTGTGTGTAGAGGCAGCAGGTGGTGATGGCAGAGCAGCTGGCTAAGACTCACACTAACATCCACTTCTCCGTCATGCATCCCGGCTGGGTGGACACTCCAGGTGCGTCCGGTTCACCTTCACTCACTACATGGAGAACAAACTGTCTTCACCTCCCGGGCTAATGTAATGAAATAGCTCTTACTTCACTCTCACTTCCTAACACTAAATCAACTTTATTTCTCTCCCTCTCTCTGCGTCAGCGGTGGCCAATGCCATGCCAGACTTCCATCGCTCTATGAAGGACAGTCTGCGTACCCCGGATCAGGGCGCTGACACAGTGGTCTGGCTGGCTGTCTCGGAGGCTGCAACCAAAAACCCCAGTGGACACTTCTACCAGGGTACTTTACATCAGTCTTTGTCGTTATAACTCACCTGCTTATCTTTAAGGAGTCAGTATCGCCGTTTTCACATATGCACTCTGGATAATATCCAGATCATTTCAGGAGCATGTGATGTAAAAAAAACAATGCGGAAGTAGCAGAAACAAGCAGCAGAGTCCTCTACATGACGCTATAATGAGAATATTTGTCTTTCTATCAATGCTGCGTGTAGTTGAACAGAATCTCAATCTGAACTAAAGAGTGGAGAAGAACATACTGAAGAACAGGAAACATAATGCAGCAGGTTCATTAGAGCACAGAGATGGTAGAGGTGGCGTGCAGACAGTCTATGGTCGTGCAGCGATCACAGGGAATAAACGTCACCACCCCCTCCCACTCGCTCCAGGTGAATTCTCCTGATTATATCCTGCTGCGTTCTATCATCAGCTCACTCTGACTTACTGAGGAAAAACTACTCTGGGTCTAGGAGGAGAAGAGCGAAAGATTCAGCTGTTTGCGTTCACATATACAGCCCCTCTGTGAAATCTGAGTTTTTCAGGAAAGGGTTAGTATGTTTGACCCTCTAGACCAGTGGTTTCAACTGGTGTTACCTCAACTAAAAATGGTGCAGACAGAACAGAACATCGCATTGAGTACGGCACAGTACAGATGGCCAGTGTGACCGCGCCCTAAGAAAATATCACATACAACAGTTGTCTTTGAATGTCTTAAACAGGTTTAAAGCAGTTTTGGCATTTAAGAGGAGAGGAGACGAGTGGAGAGGAGTGGAGACTGAATTATGTGTTTGTCAGTTGTGGGTCAACATGGTGTGTGTGTGTGTTCGAGGGTTTGGCCTGTGTCCATTGCAGCTGGAGTGGGCTGCTTTTGGTGCCAGATACTGTCTCTATGAGAGCACACACTAATGCACTCCGGTGAACGAACGAACGAACGAACGAACGAACGAACACACACACACACACACACACACACACACACACACACACACACACACACACACACAACACACACACACACACACACACACACACACACACACACACACACACACACACACACACACACACACACACACACACACACTTTAGCCTTTTCTGTGTTGTAAGACGATGATGCCTGGTGTCCTTGTTTAATAATCTTAGCGGGTCGTATGGCCTTGCTGCTTTCACTGGAGGTATGTCATACGAGTGTGAAGACGTGGAGACGTCGACGTGATTGAGTCGTAATAGGAGAAGAGATCAGGACTTTGATTTAGTTGCATGATGGTCGGGCTTTCTCCCTCAAAAAGTTCAAGTTATCGCTCCGTTCTTCTGGTGACCTAAACTAGTGAATACAGGGCGGGTAGAAAACATAGAAAAGCAGGCTGGCTTACACACCACACCCAGAAGACAGGTAAAAGGTACACCAGGATACCGTCCAAGACCTGTGACGGTATGAAACAACAGATCTTCCCACAAAAAGTGTAGTGTAGTTTCTGTTTAATCCGGCGGGAACCACAGAGACCATCATTGCGCCCCCATCATCCTTTGCACTACGCTTGCTGCCTCAGTACAGCGAAGGCACAGTGGTTATTTGCGAGTCAATACAGAGAGACGATTCTGAAACTGTGAATCTTGCAGCACCCCCTGGAGACCTCCAACAAGTGGTCTTGAGACTGCTCGAGTACTATCCAGATACTAAGAAATAGCACTCAATCTTAAGACGGGTTTCTCATTTAATGTGGCCCTAATGCTCCTTTGTATCCATGGAAACGCCCTAAGGGTTAATATTTGTGTTTTTGTGCCACAGACAGAAAGATAGTGTCTGCCCACCTGCCGCTGGCCTGGACCCGCAACTCCCCGCTGGAGGAGCAGAAGTTAATGTCTCTCCTGGAGGACCTCGCCAAGACGTTCCAGCCACACTGAGGCCGCAGGACGTTTCTTCTTCTCTGTTTTTTTAACAGTTCACCAACAACACTAACAGCAACAACAAAGTACTCACCGAGGCTGGGCTTGATGTCTCATCCTGATGTCGATGACGAAAGCGATCCGGGTCCGTTTATCCAAAGCGTTTTAAAAACAGGACAAACGTCAGGACACGATGCGGTTCAAGCCTCACATGACCTGATCAAACTTTACCTTTAATGTTTAAAACTATTCATACTAAAACAGATTCTCTGTGAGCTTAGCTTGACTAAACACTAAACAACATGTTATCGAGTGTTTGATGGCGATGCTGCCTTTAAACGTTAGCGTGCTAACAGAGAGAGCACCTTTAAAAACATGCGGCGTGTTACTGTGACTTCAAGGAAGTTGTCAATCAGATGGGAATCTGATGTGACCGAAGTCACCGACGCACATCGCAGTATTAATTATTCACGTCGCCATTTGTGGGTTCAGTCTCGATGGCTTACAGATGCGAGTTAAAAAAAGCGACAGAGGAGAACTTTGACATGTCGAGCACTTTTTTTGGAAGGAAGGTCAGATTGGATTTAACACCTCACAGGTGTAAAGCACATTCTCGCTTTCTACATTGCTGCTTTTGTTATATAAATACTAATCACATCAGGGGGACCGGTACATCCTGGAGGACGGAGTGGAGGGAGAATCTGTTGAGCACAGATTAAGATCCAAAAATATTTTTTGAACACATCAGGGATGGGCCACGTTAATACCAAGGTTAAAATACGCACAGCAGATTTTTGTCTCCGCCGTGAGAGAGTCGAGGGCTGTAAGTGGTCCCCCGGCCGCAACTTTCCCCCCTTCTGCGTTGTAGAGTTAAATCCACGTTGTCTGCATGTGACTGTTCTCTGTCTGTTAGCGTAGCTTTCATATGTTAGCATTCTGCTTCTGGTGTCTGTGAGGAATCCGCGGCTTAATTCATCGTCCACTTTGTTTGCATGTTCCTCATCGTCCGTGCTCAGTCAGACTCCATCACGTACACCCTTCAAATCAGTCGGTTAATGAATCAACTTGATAACCATGAAGGCTCATCAGACATCAGGTGGGTCTGTCGAATAACTGATCGTAACCTTTGGTTGAAATAACTGTTAGTCCTAACGCCGTCACATTGGAGGTTCAAACGCTCATCAGCTGTCCTCTGTGTTTTCAGTATCGTGTCTCACAAACCTTTTGATGACAGCATGCCGTTCTTGTTCTTCTTGTTCGCCTGTTAAATATAACGTGACCACGATATTCCTGAGCGAGTGACGAGTGAAACGTGGGACATGTCACAGTCATGGCGACGCTCTCCTCCTGCTGCAGATTGAAGTGCCCTGTGTGTTAGCCGTTAGCTTCAGCAGCGTAACTACTTCTTCATGACTCAGTAAAATCAGTATGAAAAGCTCCTCTCTGACTTTGACTTGTCTTTCTTGTAAAATGTCAGTTTGAATAAAGATAAAATCACTTAAAGTTTTGTGTCTCGTTTTTGCTTCAGATGCACAAAAACATCACAGAAAACAACGACAACAGATCAGTACATCTTTATTAAGCAGTGAGTATTTCCTCTGCGTCTCGAGCACACACAGAGACTAAAGTCAGTTCTGTACCGTCAACAAAAGTATTTAAAAATACATTTATTTAGAGATACACATGAACAACATTGTGTTGGAACAGCGAGCGTCTCTCACAAGCATCTGGAAGAGACGACGGCGACCAAACAAATCCATTGACGAGAGTTTGAAATGACGGGCGATCTAAACAAAGTGACGATGTGGAGTTACAAACATGAAGGAATAATGTCGACCATTATGACGTGAGGAATTCACCTTCTGGTGTATCTGCTGCGGAGTAAATCTTGCAGAATCAGAAACGGCTTTCATCACCGCATGCATAACTTACAAGGACATAATGAGGAGTTCTGATTGGACAAAGCTTCCATAGCTCCGTCGGTTACCCTGTTGATCCTTCATGGAGCTTTGTGACATGAGTTGGACCAGGATATCTGCTCGCCTGCGTTAGTTAAGTTGTATTAGGTGTCAACTAATCAGTATTTTTATTATTAAATACACAAGGAGCCGATGTGGAAGTGCAACAAGCTGCAGTTCCTCGCGTGTCCACTTGGGTGGATCGTTATCCTTTATACTAAATCTTGGTGTTTCAGTCGAACTCTGAATATTTGAGTGTTCAGTCCATGTTGGGATGTAAATACTGACCAATGAGTGTTTGGATGTGCTTCTTTAAAAAGGGTTGAAAATGATTTAGTGTGTTTAACGAGGATCTCATGACGGGAACAGAGACAAGTGAACCACTGTGAGAACAGATAAATACTTTACTACAAATATAAATATACACTACATGATCATAAACCTGGAATGTGACTACATTTTGAAATGGACAATATAATGCTCGTTTTCCCACTCACAGTAAGGCAAGCGTTGAGTCTAACATTACAGGATACACGCGGATATTTACACGGACGCTACATCGAATCAACAAAGTATCCCTCCCAAATATGAACTTACAAAAATGATCTTTGAGTCAGAGTCAAAGACAAAGAGTTGTGCAATTCAGTGCATGTTGATGAGAGCGGTATGAGACATCCTTGATGAACAGATGTGTGTGTGTGTGTGTGTGTGGGGGGGGGGAGAAGGAGAGTGAGGAGCCGAGTTACAGAGAGGGAAGGAGACAGCTCCAGAAAGAGGTGAGAGCAGGAGAGTGAATGAGCGCAAGTGAACAGTCGTAAGCACGGAAAAGGATATACTGACTAAAAAGGCTCTGTGTGTGTGTGTGTGTGTCTGTGTGTGTGTGTCCTTCGCTCTTTAAGGCATTTGAAGGAACACAGGCAGCGCGATTCAGCTTTTAGTGCTACATTGACTTTAGAGTACCTTCCTGTTAAGTGCCTTTTACGGGGACGAAATCCAATTTGACTCCACAAACGAATTATTTATATTCAGGAAAATACAGACAAGTAGGCGGCACGAGGCATCAGAATCACGAGTGTGGTATCTACCTACACAGAGTTTTAAAGAGAGTGATGATTTATAGGAGGGGGTGATGCTGGGCTATTTTTAGAACTATAAGATCGGTATCTGAGAGGCGAGAGAGGAAAAACACCAATACAGAAAACAGGTTTGTAATACTCAGTTTAGCCACAAGGGGGCTGAGAAGCTTTACAAACCAGTAACCCAATTATAAAGGGGCAATATGTAGCTCCGACAACCTAGTGTTTAAAATGGGTACTGCAGTCCAAATTCTAAACATTGTAGGGAGCTGTATCTGGCAAATATGTTGCCAACATATTTGTGCAATTTAGGCAGTGTGTGTGTGTGGGGGGGAGTTTGCTTACAATTTGCGCTAAACTAAAAACAATATTAGGTACCTAGGACCCAGTTTAAGGCCAATGCCTTTTACTAGCCTGGTGTTGCTGCATGTTCTGACCAATAAAAGCAGCTCTCGATTAGAGGCCCCGATGCATTAAGTGTTGAAACGGAAAAATGCAAGAGTGCGTACCAGCCGTGCTCTCTTAAAATGCAAGATCAAACTAGAGATTCATAATTCATTTGGTTTAAAAGATATCCTTCATTTTCAACGCAGTCAAATAGTAGTTACATTTTTACTTAAAGATAACAATTATATGTGTTAATTATCGTGATAACCTCATCACTTCACATGCCTGGACAGGATATTTAATAATGTCTCTGTTAGTACAGGTTACTATGGTAACGACATCTAATTTCCTGGGTCGGAGCTGCCGTGCAAACAGAAGTTCAACCAATATCTACGGGAGCGTCTTTTTTCAGTGAAAAAGAGATTTCAGAAGAAGCTGTTCCATTTGTCGATTTGAGGAAAAACAAGAACGAATAAAGGTTACGACTGACGTGATATAACAACCCCAAGCTGGTGACCGACCGTGCAGCCCCCACCTGGTGACCGACCGTGCAGCCCCCACCTGGTGACCGACCGTGCAGCCCCCACCTGGTGACCGACGATAATAAACCTCCTGAGAGTGATTTAAGGCCAACTAGTGAAAGAAAATCAACTAACAAAGAGGAGAGCAAACTGATCACTTTGATCAGTGAGAGTTAATTCAAGCAGCTATCTACAATACATACAATGCAGGAGATATATACACATGATTGGGGGTTTGTACATGTTACAGTGACTTATATGCAGGTAACGGGCAACAATAAGAAGCAAGAGTCTGTTTGTACGGGGGGGGGGGGGTGGCGACTTAGTGAACTTTACAGTGCAAGGGTAATAAAAAATGACCTCAGTCAGAAAAAGCATTGGAAATATTATCATAATGTAAACACTAACAGCAGTCCTCCAACAGGAGGCGTCGTCACAATACATGCACACATGTACATACACACACACACATACGTACACACACACACACACACACACCTCTTTGTGCTTAGGGGTCTGTCTCAGATTGAAGCCACACCCACTCACAGGTGGGACGGACAGTTAGACATGATAGACAAATTAGTTATGAGCTAAAGGAAAGTGGAGGGCAGCACCATTGACTCACACACACACAGACACAGACACACACACACTCACACACACACAGACACACACACACACACGTTCACTGAGAGCAGGCCTCGTTGTAGCTGACAATCCCCAGCGTAGAGGGGAGATATACTGTACAGAGGGGTTTCCATGACATTGGAAGAGTGGGCGGAGCACAGAGCGGAGGGGGGATTGTAGAGGAAGAGGAGGACCATGCAGTGGGCCTCGGCCAATCAGCGCGGAGAGAAGCCTGTTGCCAAGCTACAGCCAACCACCTGCGTCATATCCCAGATCTGTAGAGACAAATAGCCAGTGAGACGAGAGGCCTGGTGCAAATCTACATCTAAAGATTCTGTTTTATTATAACTCTGATGTCCAGTCACACCCTGCTGTGAGAGCAGGCATCAGATTCTGTGATGGACGCAGCCTGAGCCTATGCAGGAATCATCTGCTGACAAAGAAACTGTTGTTTACCTTCACAATGCGGTCGCTTCCACAGGTGACCATCAGGCCTCTGGACGGATCCATGTCCATGTGGGCAATGTTGTGTTTCCCCTCGTGGAATGTAGCCAATGCTGTTCGACTGCACCAAACACACAAACACACAATATTGAATCAGAGATGCTGTCCGTGTTGTGTTAGACAATATCACAGAGCTTGGAGATGCTCTTTACTCACTCTTCTTCTTTGATGGTATCAAAGCAGGCATCACACACCCTCACAGGGAACTCGAAGCCCATGATTGGGAATGTGGAGCGTTTAGAACTACATTTCCCACACACAGCCTTTCCACACTTTCTGCAGTGGTGCTGGTTCAAAGAAAAATGGCACATTAGTATAAATATGACTGATAGAGTGATTTTAAAAAGAGGGCAGACTCTCGTACCTGCCTGAGCCCCAGGGTCTTACTGTCCCACATCTGCTTGATGTTCCAGAAGAAAGGCTGCTCACACTTCTGACAGGAGTCGCTGTCTAACCACTGGGGGGCCTGAAGACACAGAGGAGACTAGGATTAAACATGCGGGTGGGGGGGAGTAACCTGCTACAAAGAGTGTCAATATTCACATAGTGATGCAAACCTCTTCTCTTTGTGTGTCCATGTTCCACACCGCGATGCCTCCGTCTGCCGAGCACGACAACAGCTGCCTGGTCAGCTGCAGGAAACGTATTGCCTGAACGCGCTCGCTGAGGGACAAAGACGATAGAAACAGTTCTGATCAAATCCATGATTTCAATCAAAACACAACACCTCATTTTAACCTTCAGCATCAATATGGTCACACAAGAATCAGCATCCAACTCTGCAACTTTAAAAAAGGTTTTGGTTGTCAAAGCTGCAAAGTTGTTTTGTGGATTGGACTCAGAGGCTCTTCCCAATGACCCCACCTCATTTCCCCGATTTATTCTGAAGCATCCACATCCCTGATACAGACGAGCCAATGCTAATTCAGCGTCCGTGCATAAAGAAATATAGAAGGATTTACTGGTGTCCCTGCAACAGTAATGTCCGTCCCTTGCGGCCCCCGATGTCCCACATGATGACGCTGTGGTCGGCTGCCCCCGAGAACAGCAGCCTCTGGACGGGGTCCCACCACAGGGCTGCTATACTTCCTGGAGACAAAGAAGCACATGTTTGAAAGAAGGGTTATTGAAGGCAGTTATTGAGGGACAGCCTAATGGTCTGACCTGTTGGCGCCCCCTGGTGTACACTGGGAAAACTACAAGAAGCTCCAACTACACCCCCTCACACTTTTAGCTTAGAGGGGAGTTCACTCTTCTTTTTAAGGTAATAAAATGTGCAAATCTTACAGTGGGCACAACTTTCCTTTGTTAGTCTGTAACCATCTTTTACCTGAGAGGTTATCTACTCCTCAGTAAAGACAAACTTAAACGTGAAACGCCGTCCTCCGAGTAGCAGCACTCAAAGCTTACTCAGTAATGTCTACGTATATTTCTTTAACCACGTTTACTAGAGTGTTAACTATTCATTAAGAGTCTAATTCTGATGTGAAGGACTGTCTGATTATAAGCTTTTAGAGGCTAAAGCTAACGAGTGTGTGATACACACGTTCTGCAGCTGGTAATCTGAGCTCTAGACAGGAAATGTTTAAAAAGTCAAACTTGACTTAATGTAAAAAAAGTAACGGAATATGAAAACAGAAGAAGCTCTGAGTGTCAGGAGCTTAAAGTTTGAAGCGAGTTAATAAGTGAGAAGCCCGTTGGTTAGGTCGGACTCAGAGATAGAGATATCCCAAACACTCGCGTGTGTCTCACACAGGTCAGAGGAACTGCAGGAAGTGAGAGGAAAACTCAACATGTGATCAACCCGTCGTTCAGCTTCCTGTTGGTCCGTCTTCTTGTTACACTGAAGCTTCAGAAACAACATGAAGACACAACCAAGCGAATCCAAATCGCATGCTTTCTGGGACTTCCGGCCCTCCGTACTTTAGGAATTTCTATGTTTAAATATTTTTCACACGTAAATCCTGAGACGAGCGAAACTCTGGACGAGCTGCAGCTGCTTTAATAATTGACCCGATGGGTTTCATCAGAGCTTCGTTTTGTTCAGTCTACATTTCCTTTTCTGAGCTCTTCAGTTTAATTAAGCAGAAATCGGTTGTTTCCAGAAACACACACACTCAGACCATCTGCTCATTCTTTAGAGATGATTTTACTTCTGTGTTGTGGGCAGAAGCAGAACACATGTTGTTTTAGTTCAGCTGAATCACAGATTTTCAGTCACAAAGAGCTAAAAACATTGGAACCCTGGGGCAGGGTCGATGAGTCATATGATGAATAACAGCCTGCAGCAGGGGGCAGGAGCCTAACCGCGCTGACTGTTACTTTGTCTGAATGAGACACAAGAAGACACCCACATACATGGAGCTCGATACCAGAATGGACACTGGCCTTTGACGATTTCTTTGGTGCTTTATACACATACTGTTGGGCCTGATCCACAAAAGGATGGCGCTGCTTTTTGCGCCCGCTAAAGGACGTCAAACAGCTGATGCTAACTGTGGCGCAGTATTAATAAGAGATGTCACGCAAACTTTCCAGTGATCATGATAACAATCCTGCCTCTGAATGACTTCAAAATAAAAGCTCTGTTTATAAATTTAGTGAATATTACCTTGAAGTAACTATTCATAAAACAAGCCGTTATAAGCACGAGGATGTGAGGTGCTTGCTCCGTTCAGAGAGGAAGCTTTAGACTAACCAGTTAGACTCATTTTATCTTCAGGAGGACAGAGCATCTCCATCAGTAGGAGAGCTCATCTCCACATTCACACACTAAACAAGAGCAACCTGCACAGAGCAGGAGAACTCTGTGGGTGTGTTGTGGGGAGTTCTCATGAGTTTTAAAATTCTGCAGCCAACATCTGCAGCAGAGACGGGGATTTCCAGAGCAGCATGAGAGCATCATTTCTTTCATCATCGTCGTCGTCTTCAGAGCCAGATGATGAAGGACTTCTCCTGGAGAAGTAAGTCTCACATCCTGCCAGCACAGCTGTACTTACTTAGAAAGTCTGTGTGGCAGCGTGGTCAGTTTAACAGATCGTACGTAAGCCCCTTCTTTTGAAAAAACTTGAACCTCCTCCGTGCAAAACAGAGTTAGACTTTTCATTCAAATCAACTTTAAATCTAAAAGTGTGTCTCATCACGATGGTTCAAATAACTGATGCTACCAGTCTTTTATTTGCTTCTCTTGAAATCTTTACTCACACCACATCTGGACACGAGCCTTCAGCATCAGCAGCCTGATGTACAGACGAGCAAAAAGGGCCAGACTAAAGAAGAATCAACGAGGAGAAGAAGATTCGGCTTTCTTTTTTGGCATTTTGTGACAAACGTTGAAATGTCAAGGCGAGCTGTGGTGAAATCATCATTCGTCCACCTCAGGATCATCAAGTGTTTTAGCCCTTTATCACGAGACACTGTCACCCGAGGGAGCATCAAGTTGTTGTGCCCGTCTCTAAACTCCTGCCTCCGCTTCTAATGTTGGGCTGAGTGAGCTCAACGATCTTAAACAGGTTGATCTCTTATTAAGAGTTCCACCCACTGAGGCTATGCAGGTTATGTGTGTATCACAGGTCTCCATGGAAACCCTGAAGGTCCTGTACTACCCAGGAATCCTGCTTCATAAGTACAGTGTGAGGAGCAAACAATAACTGTGTGTGGATGACCACACGTGTACAGTTGATTCAAAAGGCGCTGCTGAACAACGCGCTTCAAGGCAAGACAGAGAAATGTCCGAAACCTGAATGTCTCCAAATACCATCCATCAGTTTACTTCCTCTTACCGAGGTCGGGTCGCCGTGGAAGCAGGCGAAGGAAGTCAGCCCAGACTTTCCACTCACCAGCAATGTCCTCCAGCTCCTCCTGGGGATTGAGAGGTGTTCCCAGGCCAGACGGGATATATAATCCCTCCAGCAACTCTGGGTCTGCCCCGGGGTCTCCTCCCAGTTGGGCATGCCCAGGAAAAAAACCTCCAAAAAGGGAGGCTTCCTAATCAGATGCCCAAACCACCTCAACTGACTCCTTTCGACGCTCCTTTATTCACTCTGTAGGCCCGTCACCCGCAGGGAGAGGCAGGGGGGTCAGGTTCATGCTAAACCTGGTGGCGGGTGTGGGCAGGGGCCTTGGGCGTGCTAATCCTCTGCAGCACAAGACGGATGTCTCCAAAAAGTGAGGGACGAAGGACCAGATTTTGGTCAGTCGAGGCACCATTTACCGAGGCAAGTCCTCGATGCACCCGACACTTCTCTCTCTCTCTCTCTTCTCCGCATTTCTTATCTCTCTTTTTTTAATCCAATGAAGGCCAAAGGTAAAAATACTCTTATAGCCTTTTCACACATGCACCAAACTCCTGAGAACTTCCTCAAATATGTGAACAAGAAGGCGGAGTGAGCCGACTGTCCTAACGTTTTTAGGAGGGTATGAGTGAAAAGGGGATAAGAAAATAATATCTATATCAATATATCAGGAGTGTATGAGTGACTTGTTTGACAGCACACTACACAGAGTGTGAATGAAGGATACTGTAGGCAGGAGGCCCAGGCGGTGAAGTAGTGTCTCCCCAGCATGCTGCCGCTCTGGGTGCACATCCAGCTCACACTCTTGTCGTGGCCGGTACTCACCACCCACTCACTCTCCAGGGAGAACACCATATCTGACACACGGTTCTGGTGGGCTGTAAAACACACACACACAGAGAGAGGGTTGATCAGGCTCGAGTCACGTTGGGTAAACATCAAACAGGATTATATCTATTCCACTGGGCTTTTATATCCAAGCTGTTACGGAGCAAAAAACCATCAAAGACTAATTTCCCTCTTCCGATCCAATCAGAGGCTCTGCTTATTGTCCCTGTAATCTAATCGAACACAGATTAATCCCTTCAGACAATCTGGACTCCTATCAGTCTTTATGGTCCATCTGGGGATCAACTCCAAGGTCCACTCTGTTGTTTTCACACTACATGTATTCAAGTTGCCGTCATTGAGGACTGTAGCCTCTTTTAACGGGCCGTGCAGATTAACCACTAGGCCACCAATGCCCCAGTTATGCATTGTACTATAACCAGTTATTGGATGAGGTCATGATGGAGGCGTTCTTTCTTATCTTGGGTTCCAACTACAGAGAGAGGATTGTTTTATATTTAAATCCAGACTGAACATACGGACGCTGTTTTTATGGTTAGCAAAGAGCTGATTGGAAGAAGAAGTCTACATTTCTTTTTCTCTTTAAACAAAGTCAGACTGACTGCCATATGGAGATGTTGAGCCCCTCCTGGATTTAAAGTGCACACCCGCATTATAATCTTTGATCTGATGGTGAGTCATGTCTCTGTACTCCCTGCTGGTAGAGACCAGACGCAGCATTCCACTGACAACATGTGGCGTTTAGCTCTCTAAAGCAGCACGCTGGCTGATTTTTTGTTTTCCACTGACGAGGCTCGAGACGTGCTGATGACAGTCACAGGAAGTGTGCTCAGCTCATAAGGGACCAATAAGAAGGAGATGAAATCAAGACATCCTCTGCTCTCTGTGGGTTCTCCCCGCCGTCTGTCTCGGGTCTCTTGGAGCAGGAAGTGGGACAAACTCTCCGACAGTCAGCGTGTAAACACTGAACTCACATGAACTCTCTGTGACAGCTACATGATAATGATTTTAAACACATACCAGAAGGCTACAGATCAGAATACCTCATTCATAAATGTCTCAGTTAACGTCCTTTGTTTATTTGACTCCTCCGAGGATCTGTTTCTTTTCTCGAGTCGTTCATATCCTAATGGTCGTTCATCTTGAATAGGCTGAACATCATCGACTCATTTTCAGTTCCCTCGAGAGAAGCACGTACTCCTTTTGGATAAACTGAAGTGTACAAGATTGAGGATGAAGGATGCACGCTCACGCTTTTCTGGGATGTACAGCTTTTTATAGATCAGCTACTCGAGAGCTGTCAATCATTATTCTAAAGTGGAACATTCATTGGAACCTGGGGGAGAACGTCCTCTCTCCCAAGGCTTTGGCAGAGAGACGTGGAGAGACTCAGGGTCACAACAGACCCACAACTCTCCAAGCTGGCTCGTAAATATTTCAATCAGGAATACTCTCGTCATAGATTTAACCATTTATTGCACTTCTGGTTTGTACAGTTGTATTTGGCGGTATTGGTTCTGCTCTTAGCTCTCAGCAGTATGTCCTAGAATATAAAAATGTGCTGACTGATGCTGGTGGAGGTCGGGGAGTCTAGCAGCAGAGTGGATGTGATGCAGGAGGAGTGAGAGGCAGAATGGTTTAATTAGACCGCCTTGTTGTCAGAGTGTGATAATGATTGGTTGGCATTGGGGCGGTTCTCAGATCAGCTGATAGCCGCTTGCGGGCAGGACTACATGAGTCCGTAGCTGGTTCTCTTACCTGGATACGTTTTGACATGGCTCATCTTGTTGAAGTCTTCAGAGATGAGAAACTCCTAGAGGGCGAAGAAACAAACAGGATCAAATAACCATCCCTCCCTCACAGGCATCTCAAATAGTCCAAATATTGAAACAGTGCTTAACATAAACCAGACAGGCAGCTTTTTTTTAACTAAATATGTTTGCACAAGCTAAAAAGGGAACCTGGAGCCACATGTTTGAGTGAGCATCACTCACCACAACCGCTCCGTTGTCTTGGCCTATGAAGATGCGTCTGCTGTCGTGGTGGTACGACATGCAAGAGCACGGAGCTGAAGGAGAGAGAAGACTTTTAGACTGAGCGGGGGAATCACTTTGAACTCTGCACACACATCACGGGAAAGAGTTTCTCTTTAAAACTGCTGTGGTGGACCAAACACATAGAGAGGCTACGATATTAATACCAGTAGTGGAAATGCCGCTAATGCCTGAAATATGATATCCATGAGTACGCTGGTCAAACCTACTAGAACCCCAAATAATGGACTTGCTTCTCCTTTAAAACAGAAGCCATCACTGGAGTAACACAGTAACTGGTTTAAGGTCATAACAAACAGAAGATGTGTCCTGCAGATTTAAGCCATCATTTGAACTCAAAGCTGCTGGGAGTGAAAGAAAGAGAGCAGCGGTGGTCCATTCAAATATACAGGGAGGTTCAACTGGATTATGAGCGATCATTGAGATGGAATATTTCAAAACATGGGTCTAAATCGTGGTGAAAGTGGATTATGTTTTTGTGGAATTTAGAAAAACTGTGCAGGAGTTTGACTGCTAATTAAAAACAAGAATTGAAATGTTGGTGCCTAAGACTTCTATACTTGTGATCATGACATCAAACACGTGTCCATGTACAGTAGTTTGATTTGTACTCCAAAGAGAAAGTCAGCTTTAGGGAGCAGAGAGATGAGCCAGTCGGAAGGCTAAAAATAACACACAAAAGGTTTTTAGAGCTGTTTGGGTCCCTCTCTGAAGATGATCATAATGATGTTCTGTACATCATGTGATAACATATAACACATGATGAGACGACTTGTGATAAGCACAGCTAAGAGTCATGTGTGTGCCTCTTTTTGTTGTTTGTGTTTTCATGTTTTGTATTTTTGTCTCACTTAGAAATGCAGAAGTTGTGAATTGGGGCTGTATGTCAACGCTGAGAAACACAATAAAAAGCATAATGGTCAAATAACTCTGTGATCGTGAGAACTCCAGCGGCTAGCCGGAGAGAGTAAGTCAGTCAAAGCGAGCAAAACGTTTCCTCTCAAACATTTCAGGGCGGTAATTTTAAGTTGAAATGTTTTTAAGGAGGTGTTCGCACATCCAACTCTCTCATGAAGGACGACAAACTATTACTTGAAAAGAAAATATCCCGCACACTACTCTCGCTAAGCATCAATTTATCAGAAAAGGAAGTGTGTGTGAAGTGTAGGCGTTCAAACATGTCGTCCCCATGACTCTTCTTCTCAGTGACTCAAAGCAGCCGTACTCACAGGACACCGTGTGGTAGATACTGGGCCAGTACTGACCGCTGTCCCTCTTCAGCCAAACCCGGATCGTTCTGAAAACCACATGAAAACATGGCGTTATTGAAACCACTTGTCAGCGTTCACTCTGTGGTATATTCAGGTTCCTCCTCTTCTTATGAATCTACAGTCAGACACTTTCTTTCTTCTTGATGTGGAAATGAAACTCGACTGAGAGGGCCTTCGTTTATGACCTGGCCCTCATGTTGGAAACCTGCCCTGACTCTGTTTACACACAGAGCTGGATTCTCTTCACAGGACTGTGCTCCAACACTTTGTTTACATACTTTCTAGGTCAGCGTTTATTTACTGAACCACTCCTTGTGCTGTACGTTAGGTCCTAAACAGCTTCTAGCGCCGTGTCCTTTAAATGTAATAACAGCAGTGCTATGATCAATGTGAACACTTCATGGACTGTTTTACGCTTCCCTGTTAAATCAACTGAAGTAACTGGACACCAAAAGGACATATTTTCATTGACAACCACATTAGTTTCACTTCAGTTGAATTTAAATGAGCTTCTCTGAGGAATCAGGTCGAAGGTTTTACTTCTATTCCCGTAAAAAGTCAGCAGAATGACCACAGAAACGAGAGCAAAAGCAGCAAACTGGCCCAAAGCTTCCCCCTTAAATATCCAGTGGGGTCAGATATGATATGAAAACTGTGAAACATCTTCACAGAAACCTCGACTCTTCATCTTAACATGATGACAGTGTTGATTATTACTGGAACTTTACAGCTAACCCCAGCTGAATGAAAGTGATCCATTCTGCACTTTTCCTCCTTCACAGTGTTTGCACACTCCCACAATGAGAGGCTTCACTTCATGCAGGAGGATCAGTGTCAGGGGGAGCTGGTCTCTTTTTTAAAGTCCATTAAAGGCATCAGAGGAAGACGCTTCAGGTTGAAGACGCTTCAGGTTGAAGGCGCTACAGATGAATGTTGGTTTAATACGTTTAAATTTGGTCGGTCTTCTCCAGCAGTCTCAGTCAACAGTCTGAGTAACAGAAAGTCTTCCTCCAATGTAAAAACATGTCATTTAAAGGACCTGCAAAATAATAACTTTAAAGAGGACATATTATCCCCCTTCTCCACCTTTTCAAACAGTCCCCTGCGGTCTAAATGAAACATCTGTGCTGTGCTTTGGTCAAAATAGAACATGAATCAAGCACCAGAAGAGGGTTGGGGCCCTGTATAAACCAGCTCTCTCAGAACGCTCCGTTTTGGTGTGTGTGTGTGTGTGTCTCTTTAAATGCCGTGAGCCCCCCCTGAGTCTTCCAGGTAGACATCACTCCTCTGTAGCGAGAATAAAAATGGCTGATCTGCACAAAAGTTTTGTTCTATAGCTGGGGGTAGTGCTGGGCGATATGGCCTAAATTTGATATCACGATATTTTTTTGCCTAATGTCGATATTCGATATGACTCGATACTTATCGTATTAAAGTTTATAAATGTAGCCTGTAAAACTGAATCTCCACTGTATAAAAAAAATATCACTGGCTCTTAGATCTTTACTTTAGGAGTTCTCTTAAGGGCTAAGATGCTTTGTGAATAACTTTTATCTTTACCATGATCTAGTCTTTAACTTTAAGGGGAAATGTAGCTGCAGCGTGTTCCAGCTCCTCCAGCTGTCTGTCACTGTGGATGAAACTTTTCTCCCTTCTGTTTTCATCACGCCCTGCTGTCACTCTCTCAACTTTTCCGGCGATTTGTTTTCTTTGAATGCTGATTTTAGCTGGGCTTTTGTCGGAATATGATGGTTTCAAAACCGTTTTACTAAACGTGTGTTTCAGAAGAGAAAACATGCGCTAACATCTGTGTGCGAGTGTACAATTCGAGAGTAGAGTATCGATCGAATCGAGCTTCACGATATATCGCCCAGCACTAGCTGGGGGTGGAGTCCATGGGTGGAGATATCAGGGGAGGGACGGGTATTTTTTTTATTTTAACCAGAATCCCACTGTGACATCACAAGGACAGCACAATTGAAACAGAGCATTTTTCTCTGTGTTGTAAGACTTATGCAGACCACAAACAAAGAACTGAATGGGTTTATTTCACATTTTGTGGGTCGGTAGGTCACTCAGGTTACCCAAATATATGTTCAGAAACAAAGTGGATTTTTCATAATATGTCCCCTTTAAGTAAAAAGTCATTCCGGATACATGGAGCATTTGAAAGCGTACGTCGTTGTTGACGAATGTTTACTGAGATCTAGTTTGGTAGATGAGGTATCACATCACTGTGAGTGTGAGGCTCTGGTTGTAGTGAACTCAGGAGTCGAAAAGCGGATGAAACTACACTATACACTATGTTGGTTAAGGGCTCATTATGTATTTATAACCCCACGCCCTGCTATGGGTCTAAATATAGTATTTAAACCTTACAGTAACACATTCAGACTAAAATACTCGCTTCTTCTATTTACTTTCGTACTAATCCAGCCAGCGCAGCAGGCACTCTGAGTCTAACGATAACCAGGACATAGACGGAGCCCGCTAGGCTACCTTTAGCCTGCTCGGTAAACTCACCTGTCCTCGCTCACGGTGATCACTCCATCTTCTTTCGGTATTAAAACGGCCGAGTTGACAGTGTCCGAGTGGCCCTCAATCTTGTTCAAAAGAATCGGTCTGGCGGTTTGGGGCCTCGAGTGGATCTCCGCGGCCATGGTTTTAGGTACCCGGCGGTGTTTCGTTTCAGCTGATTCTCCTCCTCACTCGCCCCGTAACGGAGGATCAGCTGACAACCGGATCCGCTGTCAGGATTACCGTAAAGAAGGCAAGAATGCGCAATAACAACAACAATCATCTTCTTCTTTTAGCTTTCCGGCAGACTAGACGCAGCTACGGCGTATTGCTGCCCTCCACAGGTCATACACAGAAGTTATTTGGAGGCCTCAGATCCTTACTACCATACAGCCCAGAGCGACGACAACAGCTTTTGTTGTTTCACATTTTACAAAAGTTAGTTCCGACCAAGCAATCTGATTGGACAAGAGGCCTCCCATGAGTGACATCACTTGGACTTTTCACAATATGTATCCCTCCTCCTCTTCAGCCAGGTGCTATGAATACTTTTGATTTAACATTTACAATTAACAGTTTTTCTTTATTCATCATCTCAAACAACAGACTCACCTGGTTTCATGATCACATTCATTTATTTTAAAGGTTCACAGACTCACTGCTCTGTGGTAACCATGGACACCAATGGTAGAACAGAATGTTTGGGTTGCTTAGCAACAGTCTAGGTTCAGTTAAACTGCGGAAATAATTGAGTTGGTGGAGTTAAACTAATCTGTTGTCGAGTTTTATTTGTATCATTCCATTTTATTTCCTGCTTGTGCATGTGTGTGTAGCATGCTCAGTGTAAAATAGAATTTCCCCTCGCGAGATTTATGAAATATATCTTCTTCTTCTACATTATATCTCCAGCTCTGACTTCCTCCACCCACCTGAGTGCCCGTAAAATTGTCACAAGCTCTGAAGTGAAGACTGATGTGACCTGATTGATCTCAAAATGTCCCCACATACTCCATCATTCATTATCTGAAACCACTTTCTCCTTATGTTTACATCCTAAAAACAGCTGTAATTCCAGCTGACTGCTCCCTGTTCCGGCGTTGAACACCCTGACAGTGGTCGTTTTATTTCTGACAATAAGCGAGGCTGAATCCTTGATGTTAAACATGTGTATTTATTTCATCGAATGATGATGATGGCAGAATGACAACAGAAAACTTCCTCAGCGAGGGAAACGGCCGAGGCGTCGACGATGCGACGTGCGTACATGTTTCCATAACGTAGAAGTGAAACGTAACCGACTGGAGTGACACGTCGTGAAATGAAGAACCTCAACACTAAAACAACCACATGAAACAAAACAAACTCATCAAAATACACATTTGGACATTCAAAGTCTTTTTAAAAATGTAATAAAGTCAAAAAAGTATTTTAAAAAATTAAAAAAGCTAGAAAATTTAGTCTGCAGAACATTTGAAAAAGCATGTTACAGAAAACAGGAAACATAAACCAAACATCAGAAGTCCACACTGTACATAAGTCTACAGCAAAGTGTGTGTGTGTGTGTGTGTGTGTGTGTGTGTGTGTGTGTGTGTGTGTGTGTGTGTGTGTGTGTGTGTGTGTAGAGGGGTTTCCCGTACTGGCCTCTGATGCTACCAGGGACGTCTGGGCTCAAGGCTGGTTGATCTGGCCCATGAAGAGGATAGTTCCTGGGGATGGAGACGGAGAGAACTCATCATACATCAGGTAACCGGGGCCCTTATTTCAGAAAGCAGGCTCAACAAATACTGAGCCGTAACCCGACCTCCGTGTTGATGGAGCCTGAGCTGGGAAACTCTGAGGCTGAATCTTGATTTCCGCCCTGAGCCCTAAACCCTAAACCCTGAGCCCTGAGCCCTAAACCCTAAGCCCTGATGGATTTAGCTGGAACTCAAAGTCAGTGTGTGAATGAGGATGGACAGCGAGACTGGGCCTGAGTGTCCAGCTCCAAATCAGCTGATTGAGTTTGTTCATCAACTCTGAGTAGGTTACCAGGGCGTGAACCACGACTACAAAAAAAGCCATCACTAATGGAGCCTGGAAACTACAATTTACCATGACAACAGGTGACACGAAGAGGTGAGTTCAGCTGCACATGGTTTGATTGTTTAAAAAGTTATGACTGTGCTGGTTGCAGCCATTGTTCTCAAACGGCCGCTGCAATGAGGACTTTGGCCTCTTCATCGTGAATAAAGAATAATCCTAACCCAAATGTTTGAAATGGTTGGTCTTTTGGTGGAAATGCAGCCTTATATACACATTTAACTGAGTTGTAAACAGAGAACAGTACCTGTGGGTTTATGTCTGATGAGGAAGAGGAAAGGTCGGTCCACCGTGACCCAGGGGGGAGAGGACCGAGCCAGCAAAATGGCAGCTAAATACAAAGACGATATACAAACAATTCAGACTCTTTAAGGTTACGGGTTCCTGTTATGAATGTTTCTACACTCAGCATGATACAGCTGAGCTCCACATTTACATCAGAGATACAAATACTCACTAGTGACAGCTGTTGCTTTTGTTCCATCTTCATTCACCTCGATTTTGGCTTTCTGCAGTGCCTTGGATACGTGGAGGGGCTCGCTACCTGAGGAAATAATAACGATTCATGCTACGTTGAGTTGACCAATAAACTGTGGCCATCGTTGCCTTTTCACACATGCATTCGTGACAACTTCTAGAATATTTCCAGACAGTCTGCCCCTGAAATCTCCCCGAGCTGCCCTTGCACACATGTCCCTCTCAGCGCGAGGGTTCTCCCCGTCAGACGGGAAGGCGGGGGTCCCACAAGACATGACTTATGAGGACAGTTTTGACCTTTATGTCAATGATACGGGTAACTGGGCATATTCATAAACGAAAAGGTGGGAAAGAACATCCTTGCGATCAGAAGAGTTTATGAAGCAGCACCATTACATGCACAGAGATCAAATAGGAAACACAGTGTGAGCAGGGTTTAAACTTTATCACCCCCTGCTCTGCTCCTCTGCATGGAGAGGAGCCTGTTGGGGTGGTTTGAGAACTTGATTAGGATGCCTCCTGGTCGCCTCCTTTTGGAGGTTTTCCAGGCATGTCTGACTGGGAGGAGACCCCGGTGTAGACCCAGAGCTCACTGGTGGGTTTATACATCCGTGCTGGTCTGGGAGCGCCTCAGAAACCTCCAGGAGGAGCAAGAAAACATAGCTGGGGAAAGGAAAAGCACTACACCACAGGATGGCGCCAGAGGGCTTAGCTCAGAGCTGTATTTATTCCATCACTCAGGGGGAGAAGAGAGAGTAGCAGAAAGCCAGTGATTCAGTTTTTCACACCGCTCAGTGAGACACAGCTCATGTTTCTCTTGCTGTGGCAGTAAACAGCAAACAGTATTCTTCATTTTACAAGCCTTTCCTCATAGACCTGTTGTCAACACTCGGAGACATTGTGTCAGCCGAGTGTGAGGACTGACTGTTCTCTTACTCACTGATGTGTCTGAAGTCAGCCTTGGCCTGACTGAACATGTCTGTTATTCCCAGGGCTGAAAGGGGGGCTTCCAGATCTACCTCGGCATCAGCAGTAAACCTGCAGACAATAAAACACAAACAAGAGCACGATGCCATCGTCACATTCAGTTGCGTTTTAAATAAATGTTAAGACTGAGTCTGGTATCTGTTGTACAGCCGGCTCTTTCAAGAGGATTTTTAAAAACACTCGTTTGAATTATTTTGAATTTAATTAAAGAAGATTTCATGTCAGAGACCGTAAAAAGTTAAAGAGGGACAAAAATACAAATTTAAAGAAGGAAAACTATTTTTTTTTTTTTAAATAAAAAAAGCAAGGAAATAAATACATTTCTCACTTAGCCAAATGTAATCTGGTTTCATGTACGAGTTTCAGATCTGTAAAATCTTTCTGTTTATGCTTTAAAGGTCACATATTCTGCTAAATGTTTCTCTAACACTAATATGTGTCCCTAGTCTGTCTACAAACCCCCCAATGATGAGAAAAGTCCATCCTCTCCGTCTTCTGCCTGCTCCACTTTTCAAAAAAATGTGTGCTCAAACAGGCCGTTTGGAGGTTTTCCCTTCATGACATCACAAAGGGCAGTAGGCCCTCCCCCAGGTGGGTGACACTCCCACAGCTAGTTGTTTGTTGTGCCCTCTGAGTCTGCCTTCTCAGGGTAAACAATGGGACATGGAGCGAGAAAGCCCGAAACACCCAAGCCCTTCCAGAAAGGGGGGGTGGTCAGACACAGCTCATTTACATTTAAAGGTACAGACACAGAAACAGTCTGTTCTGATCAGGGCTGAAATAGAGGGGTTTATAGGCATGATCAAATACAGGATCAGAGTGGATTTAGAACCAGAAACTTCACACACATGTTTTGGTGACCTCTGAGACTTATTTACACTGGTTGAAGAGGAGGAGAATATGTGACCTTTAAGGGACAGTTACAACCTTTCAATGAGGTTAGTATGCTTGAGTGTGTATGAGTGTGCGTGTCTTACTTGGGGATGAGTAGGCGCACTTTTCTCGGGTGCATTAGTGAGGTCCAGCTGTGCACAGTGGCCGTGCTTATGTGTGGGATCACGCGAGACAGAGGGGTGTCCTCTTCTAACGGAAGAACGATCAGCATGCTGATGGAGCCGCCGTGATAGGGCAGCTCGATCACCTTGTACTTCAGTCCCTGCGGGGTGGTGGCTACACCTGGCAGAAGGGGAGAGGGAAGTCGTTAAGGGAACCAGGATGGTAGAGATGACACCCGCGTTCTGAACGATGAGCCATATTTCAAGCAGCTCTTTCTGTTTAGAACATTTATGACACTGTGGGTGACACGATTTTATTCTCCGTCTGAACATGACGGACTTTGTAGCTCAGTTATTTTACGTAGTCTAAACACACTAGAGACATAAACGCATCACTTCCTGGCACACAGATTCTTCCTCAGAAAACACTTACAGTACCAGACAGCTGATGTTCATCACAGCAAACGCAGAAACCGTCTTTGAACCGGTTACTTAGTAACAAGTGTTGTTGTGTATCATTCAACGTTAGGGAGTAGCAGAACTATGATATAACAATAACACAGACATGACTTATATTTCCACTGAGCCTTCAAAGAAGCATTTTTGCACTTTATTTGTATAAAGTGTTTATGGAGCGTTTAGTTTGAGATGCCTTTGGTTGTGCTGGACTCTTATGTCCGGAGACTTTTTAATCGGCCCACTGATATTATTGGCCAATATTAGCATGTCACCTG